TTCTACAAATGGCCCTGGGCACAGCGGAGAACAGAGAACAGAGATGCTAAAGCTGGATTGAGACTACTGACTCCAAAATTTTAAGTCTTTCCACAAAAATAATGCCTTTCAGATGTGGATTGCACTCAGAGGAAAAGGAATATATTTGTAGCACTACCTAGTATAGACACTCCTGGTTTTTGCTATAATTCTATTCCATTTCTTACTTTTTTACTTACTTGTGAGACAAAGAACCCAATGCACTGGTTCATTCCACCAGATATCTGCAATGGCCAAGACCGGGTCAGGTCAAAGTCAGAACCCAATTCACGCAGACTCAACTACATACGTCCAACTACATAGGTCATCACCTGTTGCGCCCCAGGATGAGCATCAGCAAGATGCTGACACTGAGAATGGAGTTATAACTCAAACTCAGGCACTATGACACAGGACATGGACAGCTTAGGCCCTAGGCTAAACATTCACTCCTATTTCACTTTGCAAAAATGTTCTTCTTAACACACAAAATCGGTGTTATGACTCAGAGGTTGGAAAATACTCTAGGGGTGAGTTTTTGCAGCTAAGATGCCGCATGGAACACCCACAACTCATATCCAAGTCCAGCTTCAAGAGAACATGCATCTCAGGAGGTAGCAGATGATGACTCAAAGAGCTGGGTCCCTGCCACCCTGTGGCAGATCTGGATTGAGCACACGTTTGGCCCGGTCCACACCGCCTGTTGTGGGGCTCTGGGGAGTGAATCAGCAGACGGAAGAGTTCTATCTCTGTCTCTTGCCTTTTAAACAAATTAAATAGAAGAAATACTGCTATAGAAGACATGCTTTTAAAGTTTTCTCTGAAATTTCAAGGTCAGATATAAATCCTAAAAATGTTTCTTACACAACAAAGCTGTATGCCAACAAAACTGTGGAATGCTACATACAACCATGACAGCTGTCATGTGGGCAGTGGGAAGTTATCCCACAGCCACCCCAAGTAAATATCCTAAGAAAAACAGGATTTGCTAAGCAGAAAACAGTTTGGCAACAAGTTTTTGGCACCTGGGTCCCTTTCAGCCAGGCTCCGTCCATAAAATTCTCTCCTTGCATAGAAATTTTGGAGCTTCCACTTAATGAGGATACTTTCAAATTATTCCATGTGAAGGGGCTTTAATAAAATGTGCTTGGATGACAATGATTTTATTGAAATGTATGAATGAAAATCAAGACAAACCAATTTAAAAATGTTTTAAACAAAATATCTGAAATGTGCCCTTCTTCGCTTCCATGGAGGGAGGAATCTGCTCCAGTGGCAAATAAAGCACCTAGTGAGGATTTCTGGTGAGGTTCTCCTACTGTCTGCTCTTAAAATACAAAGGAAAAGCAGAGTAAGGCTTCCTGTCACTATGGCACTTCCCATGATAGAAAGTGTGCTAAAAGTGACCACCACCACCTCAGGTCAGTTTTGAGTGTTCCTTCACAAAACGTGTTCCCCAGACAACACATCAAATTAGAAGTGGGGGCTGGCATTGTAGCACAGCAAGTGAAGCAGACGTCTGCAAATCCAGCATCCCATATAGGAATGCTGGTTCAAGGTCTGGCTGATCTACTTCCAGAAGGTCATGGAAGATGGCCCAAGAGCTTGGGGGTTTTTGATGCTCATGACAGACCAGGACAGAGTTTCTGGCTCCTGGGTTCAACCTGGCCAGGCCCTACCTGCTGGGTCATTTGGGAGTCCAGGAGGAAGATACGTATATGTATTCTTATCTTGTTCCCTTCTGTTCTGCCTTTCAAATAAATAAATTTTTTTCTAAAGATTTGTTTTCAATGGAAAGTAAGCTTTACATAGAGAATGAGAGACAGAGGTAAAGATTTGTTCACTGGTTCACTTCCCAAGTGGCCTCAACGGCTAGAGCTTAGTCAATCCGAAGCCAGGAGCCCTGAGCTTCTTCTGGGTCTCCCACACAGGTGCAGAGTCCCAAGGCCTTGGGCTGTCCTTGACTGCTTTCCCAGGCCATAAGCAGGGAGCTAGATGGGAAGCGGTGCCACCAGGATTAGAACCAGTATCCATATGGGATCCTGGTGCTTGTAAGGCAAGGTCTTTAGCCACTAGGTTACCATGCCAGGCCCTCAAATAAATAATTTAAAACAAATTTTTTTTTAAAGCCAAAACCAGGCAGAAGGACCAGCAAATTTCCTTTCCATCTTTTGTGTTCCAAGACAGTTCTTTGGCTCTGAAAATGCAAAGTACAAGAAAGTTTATTGAAGCTCTTGGACTTATTGACCTTGCCAGTAGCCATCCAAGAAACATGCCTTTGTTTAAAGGATTTATTTTTATAGAATTTAACTCAAATAAAGGAACAACTTTATATAATAAATCTTGCTGTCTCTCTAAAGGAAGTTGGTTTAGAATTAGAGAAAAATATTCTTTTCCTTAACAGCAACAACAACAACAAAAAAAAACAGAGTGGAGGATAGAGGAAAAAATCATACTAGTTTTATCAGCTCTGGCCAACAGAACTTTCTGTGATGGTGCAAGCATTGGACATCTGCTTTGTGCAATGCTGTGACCACTGGCCACACCACACTGAGCTCCAAAAATGTGGCTGTTATAACTGAGAAACTGAATTTTCAACTTGATGTCATTTGTATTCATGTCCATCTCCATAGTCACATGTAGCTTGTGACTACCATACGGGGCAATGTCAGTTAGGTAATCCACACGAATCCTCAACACCAGGGTGGAAGAACTGACTGGTCTCACACCAAATGTCACTTGAAAAAACTACATTCTACACCCAATATTCAATTTTCAGCCTCCTAATTAATATTGACAGCTTTGTCAAAGGCTTTTCAGCAGAATTTTTGGCCATTTTTACTGTAAAGCATGAACATGCTAACTCCGCTGAGCAGAATCCTTTGACAGCAGGCAAGTTTCCATCTGTGACATTCACACATTGGAAACGAAAAAAAAAAAAAACTGCTTTGATAAGCCCACTCTATCCTTGACACAAAGAGGAAAAATGAAATACAAACACAAAGGCCACTGCAAACCCTGAAATTCTTTCGTGCACACACCTGCTCACGCAGCCTTCCTGAGGTTTTCATCAAAATGTACTCCTTCCCTTTTCTGACCTCTTGGCTGTGTTCTTTTATGATCAGACCCCACCCAGACGCACTAACTCAAATATTCCACCTATGGGAAAACAACGTAAGATATGAGTATATATGTTAAAGTAGCCAATATTTAAAAGGAGATAAATGATCAATTTGTCAAGATGCAACAGCCTGCAGAAGAGCAGATGGTTCAGAAAGACTAAAATATGCAGATGAAGCTTCGACCACTTTCCAAGCAGGTAGCAAAAGAAATCACACACTTGTACAGTCACGAAGAGACAGACTCCTCCAAGAAGATATGCTTAAAGATACACCACAGCCACGTGAAAAACATAGGATTCACAACATCCAGCACCCCGACCTCACTCCTTACAACCCCAAGGTCAACACCAATTTTTATTCTTCTCAACATGTTACCACTGACATGTAAAAATTACACACACCAGCACCAACATCTGAATGATTTCACTATGAACTTCCAGAACCCATTTCTAAAAACATACTTAAGGAATCCGCATAGAGAATCAAGCCACTGCCAACACATGGCTCACAGGACACCACACTGCGCTAAGGCAGCAGGGCAGCTCCAGGACCAATCCGGCACCACAAGCTAGAACTTCCTCTTTTTTTTTTTTTGCTATTCCTGCTACTGCTTCCACCAGCTCCTAAAAAAAAAAAAAAATCAACCTAAAAAAGAAGCTTACCTATAGTATCCCAAAGGGCACTAGAATTTCAACAAGACACAGGATACAGAAGCAAGGCACATACCTCCCATGGGTTTCAGTCCTTGCAGAATAAGAAATGACATTGCTGGAATGAGAGAGAGCCCTGCGAAGCAAGCCTGTGGCATTCCACAAAGCTGGGTGCTGGCAGCTCTGTTCAGGTAAGAGGAAAAATTGCAGTGCTGGCCTGGGTAGAGAAGACCGAGACCTCAAGATGCTCACCCTGAACTTGGGACTCTCCTAAGCCATGACCTAGAGGCTCTCCTGAGCGCAGCATCTGTAGCATGCTAAGGTACCCAACAACCAGCTCCCAGTTTCTGAGATAAAACACTCCACATCTGACAAGGGCCGGACACCCCAGTGCTATTCTCATTATCCTCATCCTTACAGGAGAAGAGGACAATGAATAAAATAAAGAATTCGGCATTTTCACAACCCAGGCCTAAGTTCTCAAAGTACAAAAGCTTTATAAATAAAAAACCAAGGCTATTTCCCATTGAGTTCTATAAAAGTCCACCTCAGAGCAGTGTTACTACCGCTTCCCTAAGGGCAACTTAAACAGAGCAATACAAATCTACTTAAGGACACTCAGAAGATAAATTAGCTTTAACAGATAGTTTAATACTCTCAGATTTACAAGAGAAAACATAGGTTCTAGAAAGCAAAAGAAACAGACATAGCAGAAAAGAAAGCCTTTTTGGGGGGGGGGGGTCCTGGCTTCAAACATTAACACAGTACAATGTCACACTAAGTGGAAAATAAACCGAATAAACCATCTTAGCACATAGATGCCCCATTTTGCGAAATCCCACACTACTGTAGGCTCAGTATCTTACATATCTCTTCTTTGTAAGCCCTCAAGTCTTAAATAACACACTCCTTTTCCTGTGTTAAGAGCTGCTGCAGGCCAATTTTAACAACTGAATATCAACTGCATTCAAAACATTATTTTAAGGGGTTTGTCATACATGGTTATGAAATTATACTTCTGAAACCATCATGCTTCCTAATGAAGACCCTGAAGGGAAGAGCCAATCAGACAGTTTCCTATTTTTTTCCATAGTCAAAGCGTAACAGCATCCTCAACCCAAAGTGTGACACACATCCATCCACCGCCCCCGATTTAAGCATAACATGGCCCATCTGCTCCCACCACGCAGCTACCCCAGCGGACTCTCACCTGTGTATCCAGCATACCATCCCCACGAGGCCACCATTCCTAAGAGCCATTTGTACATGATTCCTTCAATATACCAGAACTGCTTACTGTCCAGCACTCGCAGGGGCTGCAGGATAATCACATAGCAGATGTAGGAAGGAATGGCGACTAGGTTGTTGGCCACCATGAAGGCAAACCTCATCAGAGCTTTCACCAAGATCCAGCCCAGCCAGGGAGCCTCTTCCACAGTCACAGCCATTGTCACCTGAGAGTCCGTCCTGCCTGTCTGGGGTGAAAGGAACAATTCCTTAAAAAGAAAATAGAAACATGATTCCAAAGTACCTAAATAGTCACTAGCAGGAAGTGGCCTCCAGCGCAGAGGGTCTGAGGCGCTGCGGCCAGGGGAGACTCCAGAGGGGGACAGCGGGCGAGGCAGCAGCAGCACAAGGTCACTGCACCGGACTTATGTCCCAACACATGCAGCAAACAAGACCGTTCCCACTCCCGGAGCGGTCGCACAGCCCTCCCCGCAGTCGTCCAGGTGGACTTGGAGGAAGAAAGAAAAAAATGGACTCGCTCGCCTCAGGCACCTTTAGTGTGCCAAACTGGTGACACGCGCGAAGCGTCCGATCCAGGGACCTCCGGATCGGATTTGCAGGACACCACGGACCCAGGGCTCACCGCGGCCACCATTCCCGCACATTGATTCATTCCTTTAAAAAGGTGTCTCACGCGCACCCAGCGAGGAGTTAGCTCAAAATTCTCCTATGCAATTTGGGGTCTGGGTTCCTTTCCGTTGCTGCTGTTTTTAAAGGGGGAGGAAATAAAAGGAGCGGGGGCCCAGCAAGATAGCATGAAAGGTGAGGGCAGAAAAGGAGGGGGGAGGTCAATAATAAGACAAAAAAGGAGAAAGGACAGGAATATAGGGGGAGGGGAGCAAAAGCCCGCGGAGGTAAAAGGCAACGGGGCCAGTAATGAAGGGAATGAGCCCTCCGGCCGGCGGGTGATGCTGGAAGAAGCCAGGGGATGATGGAAGAAGCACGGGGGGAAAGAGACGACGGAGGCCTCGGGGCGGGTGGGGCCGAGCAGCGGTTTCCGCGAATGTGGAAGGGGTCAGGGCGGCGGGCGCGGCCCGCGCTCCGGGGCTCACCTCAGCCGGCGCGGACGGCGAGCGGCGGCAGAGCGCGGGGACGAGCGAAGCCGGGGACCCGCGTTCCGGGGCGCGGGGCGGGGCGGCGGCGGCGGCGGCGGGTGTCCCCGGCCAAGGGGTCGCGGTCATGGACGCGGCGGCGGCGGCGGCAGCGGCGGCGCGAGACGCGGCGCGAGCGAGCGCACGGGCGCCCTACTCCCCTCGCGGCTGCCTGCGGACGGAGGGACGGCGAGGACTCAGAGGCCGGACCTGTCACCGGGGCGGGGCCGGGGAGGCGGGCGGATGCCCCGCGCCCCCGCCTCCTCCCCGGGGCCTACCGCGCCCTCATCCCTCAGGCCCGCGCCGCCGCCTCCTCCCGGGGCCACGCGACGACCACGACGACTCGCCTTTCCCTCCACCCCCCGAGCCCGGCCCCCACCACCGCTCCCGGGCCTGCGTCCGCCGAGCCGGAGGTTACCTCGGGCTGGCCCAGCCCGGGCCGGGGCTGCGGGAGCTGGAGGAGCCGGAAGAATGCATGGCCGGCGGCGGGGCCAGCGGAAGGAGGCGGCGGCGGGCTGCGGCTCCGCTCCCGCTGCGGCGCGGGCCGCGCCGGCTCCCAAGCGGTGCGGAGACTCGGTGTCCCCCCCGCTGGCCCGGCCGCGTTCGCCCCGGCTGGCGGGGAGGGGCGCGGGAGGAAGCGGCGGGAGTCGGGACTGCGGCGTAGCCGCCCCCAGAGCGCCCTCTAATGAAGGTGCGGCCGCCACCGCCTCCCGCCTCCCGGACCCCACTCGCCTGCGGGTCACGGCCCGCGGGGCTAATTGGCCGTTAGGCCCGGACCGAACCTGAGGCAGAACCGAGGATAAGGGCCTTTCGGAATGGTTGAGAAGTCAACACCCGCCCTTACACCGCGTGAGGCGTGCTCGGGTTCATAGGGAGAACCCCCTTTGAGTCCAAACGGTCGCTCTTCATTGTTAGGGCTCCTCTGCCCAAACGCGAACGGAGGGGTGCCCTTGAAGACCGAGGTGTCTTCCGTCCATTCCTAATGAAACTCAGGTGCACTCACGGCTTTTCCGCCGCACCTCACCGGAGTGTTAGGATCCAGAGTTTTAAATCAATTCAAGCGCCAGAGCTCTTGTTGCTGGAAAGCACCTGGAACGTAACTGGCAATTGTGCTTTCCCATCCACCACCACCCCTCCCCTGGGAATCCAGTTCTGCGTGGAGAGACCGAAATCAGGTTGGTCAAGGGGGGGGGGGGGACTGCTCTAAGTGCGTGACCTTGATAAAGTGCCCCCTGACCAGTGGCCGCGGGGCAGCCCTGAGCACGGCCACCCGGGGCTCTGCAGCTGGGTTCTGGTTCAAACTGGACCACTTGAAGGAAATGAGAGAAAATAGCCCAATGGCTCACTCATTTGCACAACCTCAAATGGCCTACATTTCTGCTCTAAGAAACGCAGTCTACAAAACCTCTGTCCTTAGTAATATTTGTAGAGTGGGGAGTAGGGGGAGGGGATTTAGGTCATTTTTTTTCATTTGTCCCTAGAGAACTGTAATACCAATATTTTTCATCAAAATGCCACTTATCCTGGTTGCTTTGAAAAGTTATTTCTCTCCAGTGCCTCTTCTGCCCACATGCCACATGAAAGAATATTTTCTATTCCCTTTCCCATTGGTGGTAAGGAACTGCTGGGGCTCTTATGAAAAAGTACATGGAAGGGCCCGGCGTGGTGGCGCAAGTGGTTAAAGGTCCTCGCCTTGCACCCCCGGGATCCCATGTGGGCGCCGGTTCTATCCCAGCAGCCCCGCTTCCCTTCCAGCTCCCTGCTTGTGGCCTGGGAAAGCAGTCAAGGACGGCCCAAAGCTTTGGGACCCTGCACCCGCGTGGGAGACCCGGAAGAGGCTCCTGGCTTCGGATCGGCATAGTATCGGCCCGTTGCGCTCACTTGGGGAGTGAATCATCGGACGGAAGATCTTCCTCTCTGTCTCTCCTCTCTGTATATCTGCCTTTCCAATGAAAAAATAATAAAAATAAATCTTTAAAAAAAAAAAAAAGTACATGGAAAATGCACCTTATCTTTCAATCCCATTTTCCATGAACTTCTCTTGAAGTCCTCTTGTAAATGAACGCCAGGGCCTATCTGAAGTACTTATTAGAATCCCCTCCATTGGATTTTTTTTTCTATCTATGTCATTCATGTATTCCATTGGTGTTGCATCAATTATCATTATATGGTTCATTTTAATGTAAATGCTTAAAAAGTTATGTCCTGTCCGTGTATGCTCTACTGATGTATGGCAAATGGGAAAGCTGGATATGGTCATTCTAGTCCTTGCTTCCCTTCTGCTAATTTAGGTGTCAATGTAATAGGATCTTTGGATAAGTCTCTTGAGAGAAATCATTTTTCTCTTGTTTAGGCCATGCCATTATATCCCTCAGTAGGATAGGTGAGGCCCATACTTCTTTTGAGAATCAAGAGTGAACTCCCCTAAGGAATCCATTTGTTTCATCCTATTCAGCTTTCCCACATGCTGTGTGAAAACTGGCGGCCACCTGGAAAGAGAGAGCCTACAGTGCAGTTGACACATGGCTCCTGGTTCCCAAAACATCTGCCGGCACACCAGATGCACCAGCACTTGATGAGATGCAGTTAGTCCCAGTCAGCCAGGCCCCGGAAAGTCAGATTGGGCAGGACCCAGGTTGAGTGTGCAAAAGCATTGCTTGGGACAGATTCTTAAACTTCATACCAGAGCATTTTCATATGCCAGGTTGTGTGGGTCTGGGAACTTGCTTTTTGTTTGTTTGATAAAGTTTCAAAGGTGATGCCCATACAGGCATTGGGCAGGCCTTGCCTTAAGTGATCTTGATCTAAAAATATTCTGACATGATCACATCCTTTTCTAGAAAGTGCATTATTTTATTTTATGTTATTTTTATTTTATGTTATTTTATTTTACTTCAGTTTATTTGGGGAGGTAACAAAGTAGGATCCTATTTTTCAGTGTTTATTTTCACCTACTTCAAAGGCAGAACTGCAGAAAGGTAAAGAGAGACATCTTCCATCTGCTGGTTCACTCCCTTAAATACATGCGGCAGCTAGGCTGAGGCCAGGCCCTGGACTCAGTCTGGACAGGGACAGCGACCCAGGTACTTGAGCCATCACCTGCTCATGCCCAGGGTGTGCATTAGCAAGAGGCTGGGCCTGCAACAGCGGTGGACTGGATCCCAGGCACAGTGCCACAACATCTGTTCACCATCTTTTTCTGTAAGGATGCATGTCCCATTGGATTAAGAGTCACAGTAACAACACTATTTTTAACTTAATTATTTACAGTCCTATCTCCCAATGTAGTCATATTCTGAGATTAGGATTCAGTATAGATTTGGGGGCACACCATGCGGTCATAATTTCATCATACTTTTTACTCTGCAGAATTCTGCCATGTTAGTTAGTAGCTCTTCCTAGAAGGAGTATGGAAGCTGTAATCTCTCTGATCATCTCAGTTGTTTTCTTGACCAGCTCCAACCTCAATTAACTTTTCTTGAGGCTCAGCAATCAGTGCAACACATCATGTTCTAGGTGTGTGTGTGCCCTCGTCTTGTGCCAAGGGATGTAGGGGCAGTTGACTTTCCAACGTTGGTAGCACACTCAGTTTTAAGAGAGCTCAGCACCCGTGAAGCATCAGGAACTGCATATGGGCTGATGTCAGGAAATGCTCCCAAAGGATGCTTCTATTTATTACTTGGAGAGTTCATTTGATTGGTTCATGCTGTGTTTTTTCACCTCATCTCTGTTACCTTCCTCTTGTCTATACAACTTCTCTGCCCCATTGCCTTTTAGCGTCTTAGGCAGCCTCCTGCAGTTTTTCTGTGGCATAAATTCTACAGGCAGACAGGTGTCTACGTACTCTCAGTGAACTACAAGGAAGCTGAGACTGCCAGTCCTTCAGGGCAAGACAGATCTGAAGACAGTAAGGATCTTCGTCAGTGACTACTTAGGTTCTAGTCTCCTATCCTACTTTGCAGCCATCTTGATCAGCACATCGGCATGCAATCAAGTGTCTCACAGCCTTTATGTACACCCTTGGGGGGTGGGGTGTGGAAATGGAAAACAGACCCCATCCCATAGCCACAGGTGACATGGTTTCTGCTTTGAAAATCCATATTGGAACCACAAGAGAGTTGGTCCTTTGAAAGACAAATAAAAATTCTTGCATTTCCAGGAGTCTCCAGACATTTGAAAGCATTCTAACCACAACACCTTAGAAGGCTTAATTCTACCCATCTGGTCCCTATCCGGACAACAAATTAGGTTATAACCAGGGAGGGGCCCCTGGATAGTAACATATTCCCCTGGGCCCTCTCATTTTCCTGGTGGCAATTATAGAGACATTTCACTTACCTGGGCTGAGTTCTGTGAACTATTTCCTCTCTGGGGGAACCCTACCTACAGCATCACAGATGTACAGTGACTTGGCACAGCTCTGCCTCCCACACACCTCTGGGATACAGTGGCAGGCTAGGAACCCACAGTCTGCTAGAGCAGGCCCTTTGACTGTTGTCAGTTTAATGTCAAACAAAAAGAGGAACTAAACGTTTTCTTCTAAATTCAAATCAGTAACCATTTTATATAAAACATGCTGGACTTATAACCTTAAAGTCTTTTAAATGAGGTCAGTCAGATCATCAAAGCTTGATTGCAACTGTCTTTAAGGCATTTCAGCAACTTTTCTTACTAACGGAATGGACCCTCAACAGTGTTCTGAGGTGAGCAAGCCGTCCTCTCCATGTACCTCTCTTGCTCAGCTCATTTCCCTTTCCTCCTCTGAAGACTAAAATTATTCTGAGGTAGCGAAGTGGAGGGTGGCATTGCGATGAGCCAATTAAGGTCTGCTTGGAACACCAACTTTCCACATCAGAGTGCCTGGTTCCAGTGCCGGCTACTGTATGCTTCAGATCCAGCCCCCTGCTAATGCAGCAGAGAGGTAGCAGATGATGGCCCAAGTAGTCGGGGTCCTGTCGCCTCCCTGGGAAAATGAAGTGGAGCTCCTGGCTCCAGACTTCAGCCAGGCTGTGTAGGCATTTAGAGAGTAAAGGGCTAGATGGAAGACTGAGCTCCCTTCTGTCACTCTGTATTTGCAATACAAATAAATAAGTCTTTAAGATAAGATAGAATAAAATAATCCCTGGGTTCCGAAGGGCCTCAGGTTCCTCTCTTATC